CTGTATACAGCATAGGCTGTGTACAAGAGTTATTAGCCTAGGGAGCTTTAGAGGGGTGCACAAAATGAGAAGCCACTGATGAAAAAATGTTATTTCTAATTCTATTTACAGATTTTGGAAATAGGTGACGGCCATCATGGCAACATGTCTACAAAAAGGAAGATAAATCCAATTTTTTCCTCCCCAACTGTAATTCACTAGGCCATTCAATTTTTATGCAAATGCATATGTTTGTGTTGTCAAAATCCAAACCCTCAAATGCTGATGAGAAAACAGGACTGAGAAATAAAGCGGAATGATAAAATAGAAGCCTGCTCTGTTGTGGCCCTGAAGTATTTAGATGAGCAGGAGATGGTCCAGCAGAAGGTTGGGGCTGCTGCAGAAAGATGTGACTTTTTGCAGGGAGAAACCAGGACAGTGTGGGTAGTGGGGTTGCCTCTGTTAGATCCAATGAGCCAGAAAGTGCCGTATCCCATGCTCAGAAGGGCTGCAGTGCTTGTCCTCCACTACTGTCCCTCAGTGTGCCTGGGACCATCACCAGAAAGGTTCCTGGGGAGAAGTAGTGATTAGAGGATATTGTTGTCACAGAGAGACTGCAGCACTTCCCTGAAGGAGGAATGTGCTCTGCAGATGTCTCATTTCCATATTTCTCTTCATCACATCACTGTTCTGGCTGGTTACACTCTGGCTTTAGGTTTCTCCTTGGGAGAGGTTCCTTCAGTTCTTCTGTGGGAGGTGGTGGCTGCCTTCATCCCACTCTCACTTGCTGTGAGTCCCTCTGTGAGTGTTCACCAGTGCAAGCACTCATTCTGGCTCAGCCAGGATCCCTCATTCGTGCTCTGCTACACTTTTATTGGAGGTTTCAAACAGAGCATTGTGTTGATCACACATCTGTTTCAGGGCTGCACAATACATCCATGGAGGGAGATCATACAACAGCAAATATGAATTAATCCCCTTTCTGAATGAGTTTTCCTGGGTTAAACATCTTGCTTTCCTACTTTATAGTTGCTGCACACACCGCCTCACTAGCTTTGTATTTCAGATGTCCTGATGCTCAGCAGTGTTCATGTGGTCCTTCTCACACAAACGAGGGATCGTGACTTTTCCTCACATGGAGGTCAGATGAGTGATCTCTTATTCAATCTTTGGTTACTCAGTGACTAAAGACCAGGGGTTTATAACCTATTCCAAACACCTTAACACCTTCTGACCAGCCTTTCTGTTGCCTGGGGCCCAAACCACACTCTGCCCCAGTGACTTGCCCCTTCTGATCCCTCTCCAGTCCTAGGAAGCAGATTGAGTTGTTAATGAAGATTCATTAAGCGGATTCACGGATAATTCTGAGTTCAAGCTCTTATACTGGCCTTGGTCAACTCACCCAAACTTCATTTAAACTGACAAATCCCAGGGCACTTTCAAACTGCTCGTTAGTTGTGTTTTGGTTTAATCCCAACCCAAAGCAGAACGCAGGGACATTCACCAACCCTACTCCAGTCATACACTGCCCCACACCTACTTAGGCAAAACACAGCCTGGCGCTCTCTGGCTACACCTCTTACCTTGGTGAACTATGCCTCAGATTGGGATCTATTTTCATTTCAGGTCCTTCTTAAATGGTGGGATCCAGAACTGCACACAGAAAAGTCAAATGCAAGCTTTAGTCCTAAGACAGCACAGAGGCACAAACATCTATCTGCTTTAATTCTCCATGTAAAAATGGTCATAATCACACTCTGTGACCTTACAACACATTACTTGGATACAGGTTGCTCATTTGCAAGGCCTAAGCACGAATTCTAAGGATGGGATACAGTCTAATATTTCTCCCATTATGGCTCTAGTGGTCAAATTGGATTCTTCACTGTATAAGAAACTAGAGAATATGTCCTACAAGGCAGACTGGATGACATCAGTTTTCCCTCTCTTGCTTCAACAGTTCATATGCATTCAGTGTTCAAGCTTGGTTTTCCCTCATAAAATGTACAAGAAGTTTAGAAGAAAATAATGCTCTTGTCTGGGCGAGCTTCAAATCAAATGATTTCTAAAATAAGGCTGAAATCAAGAGCCACTGCTGTTAGCTGTGTGAAAAAGGAGAGGAATATTAACTTCTGTGGGAGGAGGAGCTATACCTTAAAAAAAAAGTCGCTATTGAATGCAAAGCTGGTATGGAAAGCTGAGATAATTGGAAACACATGTTCCTGGCTGCAGGCGTACAGCACATGAACTGCAGAAGAAAAATAATAACAGAAAAGACACAGAATATTTGAAAATAGAGCACGAGAAGTCAACATTTTACAACTTGTTAATAGTGACTATACCTAAAATATTGTTTCGCTTCTCCATTAACCTTAAAAACACAAATATATCTGTAGACTTTCTGTGGTATGTTGACTTTAAAATAAAATAGAGATCTCAGGCATGTTGGATGATAGTATTACATAAGGAGAATATTTTAGTAAACTATCTGAACAAAGATGACTCATAATGATACAGATGAATATTTTATTTTAAACATAAAATGTTGTGAATTACTTAGCACCTAAAAATAACACGCCCCCTCTTAACTTTCAATGAACTGTGTTGACGTTGCAGGAGTTTCTAACTCTTTCAGCACAGCAAATCATCCATCTTTTGTAGTCTGTTAACAAAAATATCTCTTTTTGGGCCAAAGCTTCAAAACTAAAGCACACATAAACCCCCTCACACCCACACTCCCTTCATTTTGCAGCTTTTCGTTCCGCCTCTCTCCCTTCTTGGGTAGTAAAAGCCACAGGAGGAAGGAAAGGCTGTGAAAACCTGCACAGAAAAATTAAAATTCAATGTATACTGTAAAATATACCATAACCATACTGTAAGGGAGTGTGGATCAGTCACGTAAAGCTGTGTGGGTAGAGCTGCAGCAAAGCTGCCTCTTTCTCATCTCTGGCCACTAAGTTTCCTCCCTTTCCTGTTGGATATATGAATACGTGTTTCTCACTCCTTGATCCTGACTTTCACTCCTTCTCTTCTCAGCAGGGGTGAGTTTTGCATTTTCAGAGGTCTCTGCACTGATCCAGGTGCAGTCTAGATCACAAAATCACAGAATCACAGAATATGCCGAGTTGGAAGAGACCCACAAGGATGGATCATCGAGTCCAACTTCTGGCCCTGCACAGGAGCATCCTCAAGAGTCACACCATGTGCCTGGCAGTATTGTCCAAACACCTCTTGAACTCTGTCAGCCTTGGTGCTGTGACCACTGCTCTGGGGAGCCTGTTCCAGCGCCCAACCGCCCTCTGGGTGAAAAACCTCTTTCCAATACCCAACCTAAACCTCTCCTGACACAACTCCAGGCCATTCCCTTGGGTCGTGTCACTGGTCACCACAGAGAAGGGATCAGTGTCTGCCCCTCCTCCTCCTCTTCTGAGGAAGTTGTAACTGCAACAACAACAACTCCCCTCAGTCTCCTTCAGGCTGAACAGACCGAGTGACCTTAGCCACTCCTCATACAGCTTCCCCTGAAGGTCCTTCACCATCTTTGTTGCCCTCCTTTGCATGCTCTCTAATAGTTTAATATCTTTCTTATATTGCAGTGACCAAAACTGCACACAATATTCAAGGTGAGGCTGCACCAGCGCAGAGCAGAGTGGAACAATCAGTCCCTGTCAGCTCCAGGCTGGCATATCCTTCAAAGCAAGGGTGTCTTGGGCAATTTTGGTCATGGAAACCTAGATTTTTCTGCATATATGCTGGATTTCAAAGATGGGGAAGGTCCATCTATGTCTGAAAAGCCATTTCACTGTCAGATTTCAAGCTCTTCTAATGAGTTTCATGAACAAGGCCTCCACAGTGCTGTGACGTGGGGGCGGGAAGAGGAGGTGGAAAAGGAGCTTTCCATGCAACTTCATCATCTCAGATGACTCAAGCTTTTAAACTTCCAGAAAAAAATAATTGTTTTAAAGAGATCAGCATGAGACAGACAGCTAAGGTAGAAGTAGTGGCAGAAAGAGGTACAGCTTAGTGAACTAAATTTTTCAGGAGTTTTCATATAGTTGAGGCAGTTCCAGTAATCCACAGTGCTTCCTGCAAATGCTTGTCATCCAAAGGCCTTGAAATCAATGGAAAACTTTCCTTCAGTTTCTGTGGTCTGCAGGTCAGACTTCAGTGCTGTACTTATTAATTGGGAATGCAACATATATGGTCTATTGAAAGCCAATTCTAGCACTGCATTGGCGTAATCTTGCATTTCACACACGTCATTTCCTCCCTTTGCCAGTGTCACTTGGCTTCTGTTCATCATGGGCCAACTTAACTCTATGGTTTAATGGCTTTTCTTCTGCTAATGCCAGGTAAATTATCTCATCTGTGGAAAAAAAAAAAAAGTAGTTCTTCGGAGGACAGGCAGAAATAGATGTTGTATGCTGGGGCATCTTGAAAAACCTGCACAATGACCAGGGTGTATTTTATTCCAGTAAGAGTAGAAACTTATTCCCACACCTACAGGTGTTTTCCAGCTTTTCTGTGATGAGCTCCACATCTCAAAAAAAGAAATTGCCTCATGGGCACTTGTCCTGCTAGTCATTGTGTAACATCCCTGTGGCAATTTACATTACATGGAAAACTATACTGAAAAAGCATTTGTGCCTCTTTTTAATAGGTCTTTAAAGGAATATGGATATTGACCTTCCTGTAAAAGCTGACCATGGGTTCTGCTTTTGCTGTTTATCTCATCTCTTCTCCTTCCCTTGGCTCCTTTCCTCTCAGATGAAGTCCAGGATGAAAGCCAACATAATGCAGGCACAGTGAGCTCACCAGTATTCTGTGGACAATAGCTAAGGAATCTCCATCCCAGTCCTAATGTGAAGTTTCAGTGTAACATACAAAGTGCTAACAGGATCACAGATCATATTTAAAAAGAAAAATAAAAGAAAGACAAGTCAACATGCCCAGTGATTATTTCAGAGCTTTACAGGCAAGGGTAGCACCACTCCCCGAAGCATTCTACTCTACTTTTCCAGGGTCATTTGCCTTGTTCTTGCAGAAAAAACAGGATGGCACTGGGACCTGAACTCTGACTCTCTGCTGTTTCTGCTGTTCTGGATGCTGATGCTGCTATTTCACAACAGCTGAGCTGGATCCAGATGGAAACGTGAGTTATCTTTTCTCTAAAGTAGAAACATTTGCAAAATGCCTGACACTTTTATATAGTTAAGAAGTTGCTTCTGTCATTTCATGGCATGATAGATTGTAGACTATTAACATAGTCTAATTGCTTATGGAAATACCAGATTGTTTCTTGTTAAAGTAACATATTCACATAAATCCCCCTTCATTTTAAATACATGATTTTCAGCACTTTCATGTAAGGAATGTGCAAAGAAAAGGACTTTTTTTTTTTACCTTGGACTTGCAGAGATGAGCATGTCTGAAATTTCAAAATGGAATGATATACAGAGGGGACATTAGCTGTCACTGCTCAGGAAAAGTATTTTAATACCTAGAATAGTATATAACTCTTGTGAACATTGTTCTCTTCTTACTGCAAAGGCAAATCTTTAAAGACTGGTCTATTCCAGAAGGCTTCTTTAGGACCTGTCTGATATCTGCTCATATCATACAACAATCAGGGATAAGTAAATAATATGACAGTCATTAATGGTAAAAATACTCATAGTAGCAGCAGGAAATTCCTATTAGCTGATGTCTATCCCAGCTTTCCAGATACTTAATGTCAGCTTTTGTTGTCAGATTTTTAATATTTTTTTTTTATGTTTTCAAGAAGAGTTTTTGAACGAGTCAAAACATGTATCTGCATGGTTCACATAAAACAAAAGTAGAAAACTGAATTGCTGAGGAGCAATCCAGTCAAAGGTCTTACATTTGGGATATTCTTTCTAATTGAGAGGATTTTTGCTTTTTTATAGTAATAGTAATTAATAATATGAGAAGGGGTCATACCAGTGTTCTTTATCTAAGAAATATGGTGACAACTGCCTAAGAAGAAAGTTGTAGAAAACAGGAAAAAGGAAGGAAGCCATGGGTACCCTTCACTTCAGATAACCAATGACTTAAGTGACTGATTCCTCATTTGAACTTTTTCTTTCTAGGAACTCCTGATGCACAAGAGAGGGTGTGCCACAAGGCATCAGGTGATGCCAGTGTTGACTCCAGAGCTCTGGAGGAGATTGGCCAACACCCAGGCATCAGGAGCCTCTCAAGCATGCTGCATGCTGGTAGCAAGATGCAGTGGAGAAATTTTCCTCTCTTATGTCCATAGGCAGGATGTAACATGTGCATTACTCATATAAGATACTGCACAGTGTTCACAGCTTTTCCCTGAGCTCACTGTTAGAGCTGAAGCTTTTGAGGGGATTAAAGGGAACATTTGCACGTAGTGAAATCTCTAGTTGTTCCAATGTCAGTGAAGGCTGGGGAGTCACTTTGCTGTAGTCAAGCATGCTGAGCAATGTCAAATTTTGATACAAACCAAAGCACTTCTCAGTGCAAGTGAAGGAGGCAGTGTTGTTTCTTCACATCATGCTCATTCTCTGGGGGTGTCTGGGTCATCTGCTGTGTGTACAGAGACATCGTCCCTCACCCGTCAGAGCTCCAGCAGCTGCTTGTTGGTGTTCAGAAATGCAATCAAGGCCACATGAGAGCAGGAGCCCATGCTGGGAGGGTGAACCAGAAAACTGGAATTACAGCGGTTGGATCTTGGCCAGAAACACCAGGGTAAAAAAATGAACTCTCCTAGAGAGCTGCTGAGACCTTATGTGGCGGTCACCAGCAGGATGTTTGTTTTCCATCTCCTCCAAGGGACCGCACATCCATCAGAAGTTTCCCATCTAAAGCTGTTCTGGGACTTTTGTTCAGGACTGACTCAGAGGAAATGGTGCCAGTCAATGGTGGCACTCTTTCAATGGTGAATGACTGTGTGACTTCCCCCACTTTGGGAGTTTTCCTTAGAGACCTTACAGCTCATTCAGCAGCCTTCCTCCCCAGTGGATAGGTGGAAGAACAGGAGACACTGAGATGGCAGCACAAAGAGCATCAGCACCACAGGCAGGGTGCTCTTCAAGCCTGCTTGTCACCTCAGGCCAGCTCCAGCAACCAAATACACATATGCTTAACTCTACACTTCAGAAGCATAATCCCATTAATTTAAATGGGATTATTCATGGGCTTAAATTCCTGCAGGATCAGCAGTGAGGTCTGTTGCTGCAGCTGCCAGGGGCAGCACAATTAATGGTGTAACAAGAGTTTTGCTCATTCTATACCCAAGGGCTGCCTTGCTGAACATCAGCACTGCTCAGACCCTCAAGCCTGAAAAATGAGCCCTCTTTCAATTCAGAGGTCTCCTGGGTTTTAGTTTTGCTTCATCTTCTTTTACTTGCAAACCGGACTTTCCTAAATTGAACTCTCCCATGGTTTCTGCGTCTTCTTCATCATCCCCAGGCTGCATGGAGGATTTTTGTGTCTACCACTGCTTGTGGATCAGTGGATCACCTTAACTGCCTTGATCAGCACAGTACAGTGAAACACACACACCCCCACCCACCCCCGCTTATCTTCTCTAAACAAGCATATTTCCTCCTACTTAACATCTTTCTGCTAATCTCTACCATCCTGCTGGAGCAGTCTGCCTCTGAAAAGAAATATCCTCTCTACTTGCCCTCAGTCATTTTGGACACTGGATCCTACTGCCAACCCAAGGGTAAACCCATTGTCTGCAAGAGGAAAGTTAAAAGCTGGTGATGAAAATATGACCCAAAAGTGCTGCCCTGACCCTTGCTTTTTATATAGATGGATAATTTATTTTCTATTTGGTTGCTGCTTTTCTATCTGAAATCACCTGGCCACTTATATTTTAAACGAATCAGTAAGGCAGTGAAGTTAGTGACTTTATTTTAACAAATAGCTTAATGAATGAATTAATCAATAGCTTTCTTTTAAAGGCTCATGCACAATGTTAGTACACGTAAGTAGGTCTGACACATATAGAATCAGAAGAGGCAGTCTCTGAGGGAAAGTGAATTTCTTTTGTTTAACTGCATGTATTTTAACATTTTAGGTTTAGAAAAAATGTAATTCTCCCACTGGAGACCTTTTATGCCAAGTTTGAGCCTGGAGCAACTTTTTATGGCTCAGTTGCAGTAACCCCTTGAATATGGGGGTTTATAATGGAAACTCTGACGAGCCCTTAGCTAAAGCACTTCCAACAGATGTTTCTGTAATGAAAGGGCTGTGCAGAACAGGCAACAGAGAGCAAACTGTACTTTGTATTTTGCAGAGATTACGGATGATTGTGCACAATTTATAAAGCAGTGGGGCTTTCACCCGCAGCCGCACGCTCGCACCAGGCTGTGCCCCGTGTGTGTGCATACATTAACAGCAGAGTGTTTTGGTAACAGAACCAGCTGTTGAATGTAGCTCTTGCATAGATTTTAAAATACAGATCACTTTGCTCTTCTGAACAGCGACTTGGTAATGGTGGTGGTGACAGGTATGCTTTCATTCAGAGTGCCCTGAAGATGGATGATCGGTACTCCATTAAACAACTGGTCTGAATGGAAACCAAATGTAATTCTCTGTAACTGACAGGACCTGATTTGACTCTTTGGGACTGTCTTCTCTACACTGTTGCATCTCCAGCAGACCAAGACAGGGCAAAATGGACCTTCTGGTCTCCTTCCCTGAGGGGTGGATGGGTGCAAGCTGAGTGCCCAGGTTGTGCTATGCTGGCTTGTACCCATCTGGCTCGTGGGCCCTGGGGACAGTGTGGATTTGAGCAGATTGGGAGACTCTGGGGATAAAACTGGGCAGAGAATCAGGGAGCGGTGTCCTCACAGCACATTCTAACCTCAGAGACCCAGATGTCTTGGCCCATGGTCACTGGAATGTTGAAGTCTGCCTTAAAACAGAATTATTAAGAGAAAAATAGAGCTCAAAACTCACTAGAAAAGGAGGTTTTATATCTAGAAATGTTACCAGAGGGTATTTTGGTTTTTGTTCTAATCTCCCTGTCAGTGCTCATTAAGTGGAGTGCGGAGTCACTGGACCATCATCTGAGGGTGTGCTTGATGGTGCTGCCGAGACCTTGGCAGCCAGCTGCAAGCCATGAGTCTTGTGGAGCCTTCCTAGGCAGGATGCAAATGGCATTTATATATGTCACACACACACTGATTCATTCCAAATGCCTACTTTTTTATGATCATGCTTTGCCAGGCTGAATTCCTTTTGGGTGAGCAGCAGCGACAATGTGTAATTAACGTTCTCCCGGTTAATGCTCTGTTAATGTGCTGTACCCAGAAAAATGTGGTCCCCAGGGCTGTATTCATCATTGCCTTGCAGGTAGGTTGGAGTAACTGTGTTCCCTGTGTGAAAACTTTGCTCTCCTCCATCAGTGGAAGGAGTAGAGGCATCTGTTAGTACTGGATGACCGAGATGAAACTGCTTACAACATTCTTCAAGCAGAGGGAAAAAAGCCCCTGGATAGACTTTATCAAATCACTTTTGATACAGTATGTTATTTTTAGGGCTTAGCTGACATGAAAGCATGTGGGTTCAGGAGTGTGTGCTGGAGTGGGCTCTTCCCTGCCATTGCATTTCGTGCTGCATGGAGCTGAAAGGACTCCAGCTGCCAGTTGTGATGAAGCCACTTCTACCCTTGCAGGGCAGATCGTGGCATCAGCGCATCATCCTAAGTTGAATCATCCACTTGAAAATATCTGGCCAAGTGTTTTTAACTTCTCAGTTATCCACTCCTTGGAAATGGTTTGGCTGCAGCACTCTGAAATTTTCCTGACTTTCTGGCTTTGCTTTTTGTTTGTCATGGTCCTGACACAAGTCAAAGTTGGCCTGCTTCCCAAATGACACCTTTGATGTGTCACAGCTGAAAGGTGCTCCAGCTGCCATGGGCTGCTGAGGAGAGCACAGCCTACTGTGGAGCAGGAGCTTCCTCACTGCCTGCCTGTCCCTCAGCCATGATTCCTTGGTTATGAGAAGCTCCATGTTTCATCAGCCTGCCCTTATCTTTCTGTGGTGGAGCTATCAAGAAGCAACAGATAGTGTTTTTCTGAATAAGCCCAGTAAATTTGTCATAACGGATTCGAGTGTGGGAAAGTTGTGTTTATCTTAGCTGAGGAACAA